TATACTTTCCTTTCTCAAGTAAATATCTTAGGAGTAAAATGGCTGGGTCATATGGTATGTTTAGCTTTTTAAGAAACTTCTAGTTTTCCAAAGTAATTGTACAATTTTACATTCTCACACCAGTAGCATACGAGATTCCAGTTCCTCTTCTTCCTCACCAGCACTTACTATGGACAGTCTTTTTAATTTTACCTATTTTAATAGTTACGTGTTATATCTGATTGTGGCTTTAATTTGCATTTCTCTAATGACTGTTCATGTGCTATTTGCCATCCATAAATGTTCTTTGGTGAAGCCTCTGTTCAGTTTTTTTGTTTTTTTTTTTTCCTCCCCATTTTTAACTGAATTGCTTGTTTTCTTATTACTAAGTTTGAATGTACTCCTTTACCATTCACAAATCCATACATAAATTAAACATGTATCTCTAGTAAACTTTCCCTGCATGGATACAGGCAACAAACTCATTAACACTGCCTCTAGGGAGCAGAGACTGGGGGAGGGAGAACAGGAGTGAGCAAAACCAATACGACGTGTGTTCTCTAAATTTCCCTCCTCTTCACCCCAAAATGTCTCTTTATCTTTACTCCTTACTTTTCTTATCAAATATCTCAAAATAATGTTCCTCCATTACATTTTACAATGTTGTCTCAGTACATTTTATTTTACATTTTATTCCCCTTTTTAAGTTTTCGATTTTTTAAAAAACATCTATAACCTGTTTTAAAATAAACATCCGTGAAAGAAAAAATAAAAAAGGGTACATCAATATGGAAATTAAATGTGGAATCCTTTTTCCTTCTACATGCTATTGCATCAAGTTTGTTTACAGAGCCAGAGATGAAAATTTGCATGATCAAAATTTTAGATGCAAGAGATTTTCAATATATAATAATACCTATTGACATTGTATTTACAAATATAGTCTACAAAACCAGAGGTAAAATAAAATTTTATGAATAGCTTTTATGATGTCTTGAAGTAGATAAGATTTAGATAAGCAAAAACATTAGGGACAATATTTCTAGTATAGTCACAGCACAGATAAAGTGAAAACAGGTAGTGCAGGGGAGAATAATAGGAATGAGCAATGTCAAAAGCCTTAAAAGTTAGAAAAAGCAAACTATATTTACTATGGAAGGCAATGGGAAATCATTGATTGGAAATCTACTTTTGGAGGATGACTTTTCAGTAGTATATTAGTTGGGTTAGAATAGATAATATGGGAATGGGAATAATACCAGTTGGGAGGTTATTGCAAATCTATGGCAAAAGTAAAAAAGCCTAAATTTGGATTTGAGAGTAAAACTGAAGAGGAAGGAATAAATGTGGAAGACACTGAAAAGATAGAATAAAGAGAAATTTATCCTAAATAATTGAAAAAATGGTGGACTCATAAAGCACAATAGAGAAGTCTGAAGGTAGAGTAGGTTTTAAAAGGAAAGATGATTCCATGCTACAGAGGGACAGTCTGAAGTAGCAGGAGAAGATCCAGGTGGTAATGAGCATTTTTGTTTCCAGCTTACATACTAAATTCATAATTTGTCTTATAATCCTGTTACCAAGAGGATATTGAGCCAATAAGCCTCAGATCATGTAGCTTTCTAGTGATCTGTGTGAGAGGTTCTTATTTGTAATACTTAGTGGATTCATGACAAAATGCAGTATTATATCTTTCTTTCTCTCTCAATTCTCTCTTCCTTTCTCTCCTTTTCATGTCACTTCTCTTAGCCAAGTTTTTGACTGATGAGTTTTGACATTCTGAAATTGTTTTATTATTTTTCCTTCATTTTACAAGTCTTCTATAATGTTTTGTAAATAAAAAAGAGAGAAAGCAAAGGAGGCAGGTAATTAAGAAAGAAGAGTTTTAAAAGCCAAGATTGTCAATAGTGTCACATGCTTCAAAGAAAGCTAAGAGGACAAGAACTTTGAAAAGTCCAGGGTTTGGCAATTAGGAAACCATTTTGTGACCATTATTAAGTGGGGCTTCTTTGTTGTAAGAAAAAGAAATTTTAATTCAAATCGGATTTAAAATAAAGGAAATCTATAGATACAAACAAACAAGTCTAGAGATAAGTTAGGCTTCAGGAAGTTTGATCAGGCTTCGCTCAATGCTTCTTTTGGCTCTGCTTTTCTTGCCCCTCCCAACCCACCCTGTTGTGATTTCATCACCGGACTAGGATCTGTCATGGTACCAAATTGGAGAAAGCTTTCCTACACTCACTTCTCCTCCCTCAATCATTGAAATAACTATAAGGTTTCACTCTGATCAGACCAACTAGGGGGCAGGTTCACTCCTGAGCCAATTACTCTGGCCAAGGTAATGCTGTGCGTTGACTGACTTAGACTTCAGTTACTCATCACTGAATGGTCATGATGGAAAGGGAGATATGAATATTCTGATAGACTTAGACTCATCAAGACCCATTGCTGAATCTGCAGTTAAGGTCAGTCCTGCCCAGACTAGCTGGCTGAGACACAGTGAAGGAGAGGTGTGGTTGCAACTAGCAATGGCCACTACGATGATCACTAATAGAGCAGCTCCTAAGAGGTGATGAGGAAAAGACTAGGGCTAAAAAGTTAGTGATTGAAGAGGCAATGGAGCAAGAAAGTATAAAGTGACTTTTCAACAACTTTGACCATAAAAGGCAAAGAACAAAATATAACAGCAACTAGATAAATAACAGATAAAATAAAGTTGCTTTTTTAAGCTAAGTGCAGTGGAAATTATTGCCTATCAAATCCTCCTTTCTTTCCAAACACAATTTTGAATTTGACCAGTATCCATATCATCATCAGGCAACCATGCACCTAAAGGAAGGAAGCTGAGCCTCAGCTCCAGCTCCAGCTCAAGGTAATTCTATCTCCTGTGTTAGTGGTTGGTTCAGGAATGGGCCTATGAAGCAATTCTGGCAGGTCAGAGAGGTAAGTTTTGCTTGTAGGCTGCTGGGAAAGTTGTCCTTTGTTCTTGTGAGAGTTTCTGGATCTCTCTCACTCCTTGTCCCTCATTACCCTTGTGAAGGAAGCATGTGGTCCCGATTGCAAGCAAAACATCCAAAAAACACAAGGGAAATACCCTTGTCATTGTAAAAGGCAGAGCCGATGACAGGAACCAGAGTCGATTCAACTATGTGATTTAACAACCCTAGAGCTTATTTTAGTTGATGGACTTCAAGTCATGTAAGCCAACAGAGGTCCTTATTGCTAGAGTAGTTTGAGTCAGTTGATCATCAGTTACAGCCAAAACAATAACAGAATAGGGAACACATGAAATTCTTGTCTAGGCAGAAAGAAAGGAACCAATAGAGAGGGAAAAACTAAAAGTCCTGTAAAAAGAAGGGACTATTGTTGAAGTTCCCAGGAGGGGAAAGAGAGCAAGGAAAAGTTAGCTTCAGAAAGTGGAAGAACAGGATTAAGATATATGGTGAGAAAAGTAAGGAGAAAAGATAAAAGAGACATTTTGGGGTGAAGAGAAGGGAAATTTAGAGTACATGCTGGATTGGCTTTAATCTCAACCATAGAAGGCAAACTCATTCCAATAGTAAGTGAAAGGCTCTAAGTGACAGTATAGATTTAAGGAAAAAGTTGAGTTTGTAATAATATCTCCATTTGTTTCTTCCTTCATGCATTTTGTATATATTTAGGGATGTCAGGATGCACAAACACTATATACAGAGACTGTATTTACAGAACACAGAGTCATTCCCTTACTTTCCAGACCATGTAGTTTAGCTCAGTGGTTTTCAAAGTGTAGTCTCAGTACAGCGGCAACAGCTAACCTGTATAAATGCAGTCTTGGGCCCAACCCAGACACTACATCTGAGGATGCAGCTCAGCAATGTTAACAAGCTTCTAGATTCCAATGCGCACTAAAGTTTGAAAACCACTAATCGATGTTGAGAATAGTTATGAACAAAAAGCAGTGGGATAGAGTATAGGTAAAATCAGAAAGGCTTTCAGAAGAAGCAGTATTTAAGCTCAAACTTCAAACAATGAAGTTTGCTAATGTAGATGCAAAAATATTACACATTCCATATCCCATTTAATACTATTGTACCACTTTTCTTTCAAGTTTTATTTTTTTTCTCAGTGCTAATAGAATTCCAGCAGTTAGCTCAGAAATTCTAAGCCCTTCTGACAATAGGAGAAATTTCAACAAGATAGGAATTAAGTGTTCCCTTTCCCTGCAGCTTCTAAAAAGTAGCTATTCTGTATCATAAAAGTCCTTGCAAATGTCACTTCTAACAAGATTCTTGTAAGACACCCAGTACTTTCAAGACTGTTGCTATGTCCTAAAAATGTCTGTATTCTAACTGGTTATTTTACACATGTAAGTTGAAATCTGTTTTCCACAGGTCAGTTTTGAACACTTTAGTTTTCTCATAATCATGGAAGAAAAATGAATTTTAGAACTAGATTTCTTCTTTGAACAGTGTGAGTCTGTATCTAATTTAAATTAATACTAAGTAGACAAGATGGAGGTAAGAATAACAAGAATACTATGCATTAGAGGAACTAATTCTGTATTTCTTTAGTACAAGTCTGGAGAAGGCCAAAGAAGATAAATGGACAAGAAAGTAGATCATGTGACATGCAAAGGTGTTAACATATTCTTTTGTAGGTGATCAGAAGCTATCAAAGAAATGTAACATGAACAAAAAAGTAAACGATTAAACATCCATGCTACAACGTTCAGTGTGGAAGGTGGACTGTAGTGGGCACAGGAAAATGTGTGGCAGTTGGTACCTTGATCTCGTATTATGTGATTTTTTCCCTTAAAAAAAGTCCAAACTGTGTAAACTTGAAACTTTATTTTAAAAATATTCTGAAATTTGAAGTTTTCAAGAATCTTAACCACCATCTACTTTTCTTCAACACACTCATATTTTGTCCAAAAATTGTAGAACAAAACAAGAAACAATTCAACTAACTCAGCCAATCAAACTACTTCAGTAACTAATCATGCTATAGACTGGAATCACACAAACACAAACAAAAAATTATTCTAATTCTCTTTAAAGACATTTATAAACTTTATTTTTTCAGAAAACCAAAGTAATTGATTCAACAACACTGACAGTTCTGGCATGCAGCAAATCATCATTTAACAACTAATATGTAATCTTATCATGGATGTATAGTTTATTTTCATTCCTATAAAGTTTCCACAAGAAGCTTGCAGAGATAGTAAAGGTAAATAAGTATTTTGTTACAGGTACTTCAAATAGCACTACAGTACATCTTTGACAAAATTTTTACAATATTCCAACTTTCAATATGAAACAGCTTAAAAAGGCATGTACCAAAAAAAGTATAGTAGTATCACTTAGGCAAATAAAGTCTAATAATCATATAAGCACAACACTTTTAAGGACTCTCCCTGTTTGGGTTGGGAAAAGAGTATATGAGACATCAACTTCAAATAAAATTATATTAGTAGCTTAAGAAAATCCCAAAACACACAATTTCAAACACATTAAAGGAAAAAACCCTTAAACCATTATTCTTGGAAAATATGAACTAGTTGTTACTTGCTTGAATGTAATAGATGTTCTTAAAGTTTTGTCTAAAGCAAATTCTGTAAACCATCACCTTGCTTGCACTGGAGAAACATATCTCAAGGAAACCTAAGAGAACTTATTCTTTGAAATATGATTCTCCTGCACATCTGTACATCATTGGGCATTTTATCTGTACTTTTGTTTCATCTCCGTAAATTAAGCCCAAATTTCTCAAAATTCACTTGTAAAAGCAGCAGCAGACCAACCTCTCCTCCCCTTCCCACACACAGACAGTTCTTAAAGTACGTTGCAAAACTTAGAATTGTTCATTTCCATTCTCAATAGAGGGCTTGTTACTACACAGGTGACAAGTACCGACATGGGATAAATATCCACCTGTTCTTTTCACCTTAAAAAGATAATAATTATTTTCTTTTATTTCTAGGAAATGTTAAAGATTTTATTAAAAATGGCAAATATGGACAATTTGTGATTATGTCTTTTATAGTTTAAAATTAAATATTTCCCAAATCATGACAGTATTGTTTAGATGACGCCCTCAATTCTATAAGCATCTTATTCCTACACAGGAATAATTATTACCTTACTAATTAAAATAACAATTCACAAGAATCAGAAATAACATTCTTTAGCATTAGAACCTTGCAAAAAACATAGAGGAATAAAAACTAGAACTAGACCTGGTAATTGTGTTTTGATCAAACTTAACAGAATAGATTTAGTTGTCACAGGACCACTCAAAGAGGCATTAAAAGATTTACTAAAATGTAAAAATCTTGTGGAGATGCACATCTATAGGTGAGTCTTAAGTCTATAACTACTGATGTTCATTATTAATAAGCAAATAGATAAATTGCATTTATTCCTCTGAAAAGATAACACTGCATACATCATCAAAAAGATTATGGCACTTGGACTATATTCCTGATAAGTAAACATGGTAAATGTATGAAGATGCATCCTAGCCTCTCTCTTACTTTTAAATTCTCTTGGGAAAGACAACTGCAGGCTGGGCAAAAAAACCCAAAACTGATTCTAATCACCTGTTGAAAAGTGAAGCTATCACAGAATCCTAAGAATAGCTTGGAAAAGATCAATGAAAATAATGTTATGAATTTCTCATCCATTTTCACTATTATTGCCTTTATTTTTTAAACTTACAAGAAAAAATTTCACAATGGAATTTGAGCCATAGGTGAACAAAATTGTGCTTTCATATGAAATGTAAAATAAATAAAATATCATGGTGCTATTTGCTGCAGCCAAAATCTAATTTTTTACTTTTCAGTTTTTGAGTATATCTAAAAGAAGATGGCATGTCTCAAGGAATAAAGCTTTAAAAAATGAAGTTGAACCATTTGTACCGCATCATGGATTTATAACACTTCCAACATAGCCAAAGTATATATTAAAATACATACTTACTTTATGGTATCAAATCATGTTCTTCTCAAAATTAATTTGGCTGTTCCTAAAACATTTTCTGTGTATCTCACTTTACTCTGCAGAACAAGCAACTGCCTATAAAAATCATTCAACATAATGCAGGCGTTTTGATAAAAATACATTTTAAATGATACAGGCTTTAATAACAAGACCACCAGGGAGACCACAAATGTGTTAGTAGTTCTGTCAGTTACATAACAGAATTGAAGACAACCATTTCTTCTTGTGGTTGTTCCTTGAAGTGAGTGAGTTGATGTCTCTTCCAGTGAGGGGCCTGTCTGAATGTTTTGCCACATACTGAGCATTCAAATGGCTTCTGCCCTGCATGAATTAGATAGTGTCTTTCCAGTTTAGATGGAGATCTAAAACTTTTAGAACAAACACTGCATTGATAAAGAAGGCCATCATTCCTCTCAGTACGCCCCGAATAACTACAACAATGACTACGATGGCTCTGCTCTGATTCCAGAAGTGTGTTCAAGAGATAAGGTTGCTTGTTCCTACAGTGGGTACCGAGAATGCAATCCTCTGATTCTTCCTTAACTTTTACTTCTGATATTTGATCTGACTCTGAGACCTCATATTTTTGAAAACCAAGAGTCTGACATTGTTGGGAAGCATTATGGTTAATATTATCACCTGGTTGAATGAAAAGTTTGTTCAAATTTTCAAATTCTACTTGGCAAAGAGATCTTCTATAAGGAATCTTTTCAATATGAGTTAATTTATGTCTTTTTAAGTGAGCTGACTGTCTAAAAGATTTCCCACAAACATTACAGCCAAAAGGCCTCTGTCCAGTATGAATTAAATAGTGTCTTTGTAGTTTAGATATAGACGGAAATACTTTCTCACATTTGTCACAAGGACACATCTTATGTCCAGTATGTATGTTTTTACTTGGAACTGAAAAACCACACTGAAGCATTTCACAGTTATCAAAGAATTCCTCACCTGATGAACCATAGATAGATACATCTTTATTACTCACTGAATTATCCATAGTTAACATGTTTTCTGTTGCAAGGATACCTTTCAAGTTTTTTCCCATATTTTGGTTCTGAAAGTGCTTTTGCCAAGTAAATGGCAAAGTCATTGTTTTCTTCTTTTTATTGCCAACTGTTTTATATGTTCCATGTTTGCCATGAGAACTCATGAATGTTCTCTGGGTTTGTTCAGGGTTCTGCTCACCAGAAGTAAGATCGCAATTTTTCAAAAAACTGTTTTTAAGTACTTTTTTCTCAGATCGAAAATTATCTAATTTCTTACCCCCAGCACGTTTAAGCTTGGCCAAGATATTTTTAACAGCAGTTTTATAGTTGTAGCTTCTTTTGAAACTGCTTGGAATTTTGCCACCTCTGGCAGGAAAACACTTGTGTCCATTGAAAATCTGCTCTGATTCAAAACACTCTTCACACTCTGGACACTGAAAAGGAACGATATAAATAGAGTGGACACCAAGTTGATTATTCTCCTCAGATTCACCTACATTACCATTTTCAAAACCATCCTGCTTTGCATTTAATTTATTAGGCAGGGGACATGATTCTGGACTCTTCGCCTTTAATGAAAGAGTCTGAAAAGTCTTATTCCTGGTATGGATTTGTTTATGCTTCAGAAGTTTGCTTTGAATTTTAAATCCTTTTTGACAAAAACAACATTGAAAAGGTCTTTCTTCTGAATGTGTGAGTTGGTGGATTTTTAAGTGAGTTGACTGTCGGAAAGATTTACTACACAGGACACATTTAAAAGGCCTCTGACCAGTATGAATGAGTGTATGCCTATCAAGTTTTGATTGTGATGGAAACATCTTGCCACAGATTGTACATGCGTGAATATTCTTTCTTTTCTTTGTAGGGCTGTATGTAGGATCAGACTTACAGGGGTGTAATGCCCATTTCTCCTCTGTGGTAAAATTATGATACTTTCCACACACTGGCTTTTCTTGCTTGGCCTCTAACAATCTTCTGACCTGTTTAACATCATTCTGGTAGGTTTCATTGTGAAGGTGTTGGTGCTTCACAAACGTCTTCAGATTTTTAAAGTGGCGTTGACAAATACTACATTTAAAAGGCAGATTATGAGTCAGTTGATGTCTTTCTAGGTGGACTAGTTGCCTAAAGGTTTTATGACACACATCACATTCAAATGGCTTCTGACCTGTATGAATGAGATAATGTCTAGATAATTTTGATGGTGTTTCAAAGTGCTTGAAGCAAATATTGCAAATATATGGCCTATTTCTAGGTAGTTTGTTGGCTACTACACACTGTTGAATCTTCAGCATTTTTAAATTGTTTTCAGCCATCTTATTTGTCAGTGATATACTCTGATGAGGTCCACAGCATTCTCAAACTCCATAGATGTCTAAAAGTTAAAAATAAAAATGTATTAATTTAAAAATTATCTATTCGTATGTAAAGAAATAAGTTACATTGTCCTTTGGCTAAAGACATTAAGAGGAGGATCTGGACTTTTCCTACGTTTAAAAGTAAATCAATAACCATTTTAGATGATATTTTAGGACCATAAAACTAAATGTACACATTTAAATGATAAATCTTTAAAAGAAATATCCAAAAATCTATATAATTTTAAGCTACATTCTAATTGAGATGATACGTTAAAATGGGACTGAGTTGAATTTCTTAACATTAAATAGACCTTTTAATTCTAATTCTCCTAGTTCACTTCTAAGTAAATTTGTCGATATTTAGTTGCTTTACCATTTTTTAAAGTTTAGGCTAGAAAGGTAAACCGGTGTAAGAATTAAAATATAATACTAAAATTAAGATGTATTTGCCTTCAGTTACAGCATATTATGAACATGATTTAAAAATGGAATGTTTCATTAATTAAAGTTAGATTTTTTAGCCACATCATTAACACTATTTACTCTCAATTACTTCTTTGGACCAAAAAAGACAACATGGACAACTTGGAGAAAATGTCTCAGAAAACCTGGATTCTAGTCCTGGATTTACCACTGCATGTTCTTGGTGGCAGGAAGAAAGAAAAACAGATTCCTCATCTCTAAAATGGGAAAAATCCCTCTTTATGCAACTGAATGTGTTAGAAAACTGAAGAGAGATGAGTAAGCTATTATTTAGCTCAACACTAAAAAAAATTTTGAAACTTTATCCTTATCTACTTAATATCATTTCTAGGGTTTCTAAGATACAAACATACTAAATTTACAGTTATTTTTATTTCACCTTTTCACTTTGTTGTGCAATTCCTAAAAGACAAGTACAGAGGCAATGAAATCCACAAATTGGCCACTTATATACCATTCAATGGCTAAATAATTGAAAGTTGAGTGTGGTTCACTTTTCGGGCAATATAATAAAAAGATCATTTTGGTTTCCAAGTTAATATAAAGATAAAACTGTTTCCCCTAATATGCCTCTTACAACACATAAAAAAGGCACTTCTACAACCATCTTCACTCTATCTTCCCTTCTTTTATCAGAGAAGGCAATTTTCTTCTCATCCTTCTTTAGTACTGCATTTTCCTTAAATAAGGGAGACAGAGATTAAAAAATAAAAATAAAACACTGTTTTAGCTCTCTCATTCTAATGTTGTACTTTCTAGTTGAGATCAGAGACTTGATAGGTCTACCAGAAACCCAGGGTTTTCTTTGCCAGCTTATTTGGCCAATGACCAACATATATGCTATTTGCTATTTAATGTCCCCTCCTGGGACATACCTTAACACTAAATCACAAACACACTCACTGTGTGATTCTCTTCAGCAATCTGAATAAAAAACAGAAAAAAAAAAAAATTCATTTATTGAGCAAATATCTTCTACTAGTTGCTTTATCACAGTGTTTCTTTAATTAAAAATTTTTGGATGACATTGATTAATAAAATTAAATAAGTTTCAAGTGTATCATAGTGTTTTTCAAACTGCTTGTCACTACCCATTAATGGATTGTGAAATCAACTTAGTGGGTTATTATCAGCATTTTTGTTTAATTAAATAGAACAGAAAATATCAGACTACATAACATATAGTAAGGATAAATACTATTTTGTGAAACTTCTGAAGAAAGAGATAAAAGTTTGTGAACGCTGTTCCTGACATACTTCTTCACACAACACTAGACAGAAGGACCCACAACAAATCAATCACTTTATTCAAAGTGGCTAAATAATCTATTAGGTATGATCAAGGTCCACAGGATGAGGCAGGATTACCAAGAAAAACAACAGTGTCTGGTTTTGTTCAAATGGCCCAAATAATTCCAAAATATTTATTAAAAAATCTAATTAGAAGCCAAATGAAATATGCCACAGACATCAATGCAAAATAAAATAATCTGACTGCAAGTCACTATATTAATTTATAAAATACACCATATAACCCAGATATCCATGTTAGTAATAATCAGATGTTGGTGCTATTAATACACATTCTCATTACACTGAGAAGAAACTATGGGTGAACAACCTCTGAATACCTAAATATGCTAACATAGCAATAGTTATGAGGATTAAAATTATGTCATGAATCCAGTGAACTGCCAAGAACTAGCAATTTATTTAACTTCTGTCAAGCAACTAACTGTCAAGGAGGTCAATTAAGACAATGAGCCAAACTGAAAAAATACAATCAAGTCTTTGTTCACTTACTGCGACAGTGCAGGAAAGAGGCTAAAAGAAGCACTACTGGCTCCCCAGTGGTCCATTAAATGACATTAGGTGAGGATCAGGTAGATGCAGCGCACACAATCGTCTTACTGCAAAGGAAGCCTCAACAAAAGGCTTCTACCTCTTTACAGGCCTGTTGGCCAGGGCAGAGAGGAAGAAAGGGTTCCAAGTGGAAAGGTCCTGAGTCAAAATGGAGAAAAGTACATCAGTCAAGGCTGTCTCCTTCCAATAAGATTCTGGTGGAGGCACCTGGGAAGTGCCTCAGCCAAGGTCCTTGGAGGTACCTGAGCCAGGAATGTGGAATAGTGTGAACATGGCTAGCAGGAGGAAAAGGGAGAGTCTCTAAATGCAACTCCTTCCAGAAAACTGCAGTGCACTGGTCATGCACAAGTCTAGTTAGGGAGTGCAGCTGTCCCCATCCCCTACCAGGCCAGCCAGGCAAAGCCTTGCAAATGTCTATGGTCAAGCCTGAAAGATCACACAAAAGATTTTGGCTTGGAGCTGGACTCCTCAATTCCTATTGTATATTTCTCCTTCCCTTCAACAGTTTCTACGAAACACTCTTGGGGGGAAAAAATCCCACACTAGAACCACACACAGACAACCATCTCTGACTATAACAAGAATTGACTATCTATAGCTTCTGTGCCAAAAAGAGTCAAAGGACACTGACCTGTGGAACAGAATTGAGAGTCCAGAAGTAAACCCATATTTATATGGGCAAATAATTTTTGACAAAAAAGCCAAAAACATACAGTGGAGAAAGGAAAGCCTCTTCAATAAATGGTGCTGGGAAAACTGGAAGGCCACCTGCAAAAAAAATGAAATTAGACTGTTGTCTATCATCACACATCAAAATTAACTCAAAATGGATTAAGGACCTGAATATAAGACCTGAAACAATAAAATGCATAGAAGAAAACATAGGAACGAAACTCAAGGACCTTGGACTTAAAGAGGATTTTATGAATTTGACCTCAAAGGCAAGGAAGTAAAAGCAAACTAAAAAGCTTCTGCTCAGCAAAAGAAATCGTCAACAAGGTAAAGAGACAACAATCTCAATGGGAAAATATATTTATAAGCAACGCCTCCGATAAGGGCCTAATATTCAAAATACACAAAGAACTCATATGACTCAATACCAACAAAAAACCAAATGATTCAATCAAAAAATGGGAAGAGGACCTGAACAGACTCTTCTCCCTAGAGGACAAATGACCTACAAACATATGAAAAGATGCTCAACATCGCTAGCTATTAGGGAAATGCAAATGAATACTATCTCACACCTGTTAGAATAGCTGTAATCAACAGGACAAGTAATAACAAATGTTGGAGAGGATGTGGAGAAAAACGAACCCTCATACACTGCTGGTGGGATTGCAAATTGGTACAGCTGCTATGGAAAACAGTATGGAGGTTCCTCAAAAAACTAAGAATTGATCTACCATATGATCCAGCAATCTCACTACTGGGTATTTACCCCAAAGACTTGAAAACCCATATCCAAAAAGATATTTGCACGCCGATGTTCATAGCAGCATTACTCAGTGGCCAGGACATGGAAGCAACCGAAGTATCTTACGATAGATGATTGGCTAAAGAAGCTGTGGTACATATGTACAATGGAATATTACTTAGCCATAAGAAGAGATGAAATACTGCCACTTGTGACAACATAGATGGACCTTGAGATATGCTAAGCAAAATAAGCCAGATCGAAAAAGTAGAAAATCACATATCACTTATATGTGGGATATAAACCTAAAAGCAACAAATGAATAGGACAAACAGAGACTCAGGGACATGGACAATAGACTAGTAGTTACCAGAGGGTAGGGGGTGGGGGAGAAGAGGAGGGGTAGACCCGGTAAAGGGGGTCAAATATAGGGTAGGGTTAGGGTGAAGTGGGTAAAGGGCATATGGTAGCTGAAGGAAACTGGACTTTGAGTGGTAATCACACAGTAGAATATATAGATGTCAAATTATAATATACACCTGAAAATTATATAATTGTATTAACCAATGTTACCCCAATAAACTTAATTAAAAAAAAAAAGAGTCAAAGGCTAATTATCTATCACTAGGACTAAGACTGGACACTATTGCCACTGGCCTCCATGTCAAATAGGAAAAGACTTACTGGGAGCCCTATACTGTTAACACTACTGGTGGCAAGCACTGATCTCATTCCCTATTTATAAGTGACAGCTCAGGGATTCCCAACACTCCAAGTGCAGTCCCCCATGTACTTATACAGGGGGCACTTTAATTTGATAAAGCTTCAAATCCCACTTCAACTGATTCTCTGTGGTCTCAACTGATTTTTTTTTTTTTTGTCAATAGTATTTTTTAAAAAAAACCCAAACTATAAAATTTTTCCTATGTTAAACTGAAAAAAAAAAATTGTAAAGCTCAATGGTTCAATAGGAAAAATTATCCTAACAACAGGAAGATATACACCATTAGAAAACTGTAAAGGCTGATCTCAAAAAGCTACGAAGTTGCTTCAAGGCTGAAAGCCTGTTGGTTTTCTTAACAAACACCATTAAAAAGAAGTAAGGACATCACAAAAATAAATGAAAAAAAAAAAATCACCGAAAGATCCGAGAGAAACTTAAGACAACTTTCCGTTGGGGAATAATCTCTGGCGACATTTATCACGGTGTTTCTCTCTTTCTAGTTTCTTCTACCCTCACATCCCTGGTCCACTCTTGGCCTTGAATCGTCATCACCTTCCCCTCCCAGGGGGACTGCACTGGACAGAGGGCCTGATATCTGGCCCTTGACCTAATCGCCACAACCAATAAGCACTAAAGGTAGAGCCGAGTCCAGAGGCTGCAGAATCTCACGCCAGGAAAGGACGAGCAAGGGTGAACACTGCTTTGGCCGCAGCCAAGGAGAGAATGCCTTCTGTGACACGAACCGTCACAGTAAAAGAAAAGCATCCTCTTCTGCGCCTTCCTCTCAGAGATTCCCACTCCCCGTGAGACGCAGCCAAGACGGCGGGGAAGTGGGAAAAGAAAAGGAGCTCTGGTCGTGGCGCCCCCGTTTTAGGTCCCCGAGCACCTTGGAGAGATCGAGGCAGGCCCGACCCTTTCCGGGGCTCGCTCCACCTCACACCGGGTTCCTGAAGTCCTCCTTACGCACCTGGAGCTGGCACCGACCCGGCAGCGGCGCATCTCAGGGCCGAGGCGCAGAGAAGACAGCAAGCGCACGTCCGCAGGGCCGGCGCGGCGACGGGCTGAGCGCGCAGGCGCGGCGTTCGGGAGCGCTCAGGGACGCGGTCCGGCTGGAAACAGGCTCCCCCCACCCTAGGGCCGCTGTCACCTCGATGTAACCTGCGAGTTCCCTGGGGGAAAGGGTCTCCAGAGGGAGGTGCGTCCACAACCCTAGCGACTCTCACCCCTCACCTCAGTTGCGGGGGGAAGAGAATAGAGGTGTGAAGAAGTCTGCGTTTTCCATCTCGCCCCTAAATCTTGACTAGGGAAACCCTGTAATCCTGAACATTTGGCTCAAGGCCTGACTGGAAACTGGCGACCCTACTTCAAAGCCCACTTGGCTTGACCTCTCGAACTCAGCAGGCGGGTGATAAACAGAACGCTACGTATTAGGCCTTCCATGCCAGCAGTGTCCTCAGCACTCTGTACGTTGTCGGAATATGGCATAGGGATTGGGACAAGGGCTTTGCGGTCAGACAAACTAGGCTCCACTCCTGGCTCTACCAGCGGCCTGCCAACTGGGAACCTTCTCAGCTTCTCTGAGCTTCGTTCATTCGATATACCTACTTTCATTGTTTACGAAGTACAAATCTCCGTTCTCAGCGTCAATTTCTTCATATTGCTCTGCCAGTGAGATGAAATGAATGTAAAGTGCTCAACATAATGCCTAGTGTGTAGCCTCAAACAGCTGTTGTCATTTATTATTTACTATTTTTATATTAAATACTACTTTACGAAGTGATAGGATCCCATTTAAGTGAGGAAAATGAGACTGAGACATTGAGGAACTTACTCCAAGTCACACGGCAGATAAACGATGCATGTGGGATTTAAATCCAGGAACTCTAATACCAGATTTGCAATTTTAATTCACAACGACTTCCCCAAATAGAGATATCTCAACATTTTATGTAGGCAAAACTAAAGGTTAAATGTACAGTTACATTATTACTGAATAAGATCTTTATGTATCTACTGAAGATTTTAAGTACAAAAGACATTAGAAAAAAATTCTGGATTTTTGCAAGTTCTGATTGTAACTGTCTCAGCTGGAGAAATGAGGGAATGAGAACAAGAACAAACACTGTTTTTTTTTACTGTAACTTTGTGCACTACTTTTCAAGAGCCATTGACAACAAAAAATTGTTATTTCTAATGTTGGTGTATGTTCCTCTATTCGAAAGGGGGAGATGTTGGGCCAATGAAGAGTAAGTCTCTATTTTTCATGTGGTGACATGAGGAAATGGCTAATCAATAAGCTTTTGCTTCTCATGTAGCAACGTTGGAGGGGTCACGTCTAGGAGAGGTCAAAGTCTCAACTTTCAACAGAAGCAAGGATGGAGAGAGGACAGGAAAAGCTTTAGGTGTCCTGGGTGCTAATCCCAGGGTGGGGATTCTGTTTGCTCAGTTAACCGTTGGAGACTTGTTCTATTCTGCAGCTTCTCTTGGGAGATCAGCTCAGCCAAAACCATGAAAGAAATTGCATCCATAACCAGCCACATCAATCCTTATGAGAGATATGCAGGCCATGAGAGATATTACCTGAGATTGGAGACCAATGGAGAATGACTTACATGTAAAATGAATAGTCCTTTGCATCAAGAACCTGAATATGGAGTATGAGACACAAATAAGATGTGGATAAGCTATTCTCCAAGGCCACAAACTATACCTCATAACCTCCCCCATTTATCTTACGATCTATCTCAGGAGGCTTCTGGGGAAAAAAAAGGGGAGGAGAGACATTACCATAAATAAAACTCATCAGGAAGATTTCATTAGGTGAGATTTAAACAAGAACTTAGTAGTGAGTACAATATAGGTACATAGAATATGTAGAGGCAGGATAGAACACCATAGGGAGAGATGGTAATAATGTAAGGAAAAGCAAAGGAATGTCATGGCATACATTAGGGTTAATATCTTTGTAACCTACTAGTGTGTGTCCTTAAAAGTTATTTAACCTTTTTGAACCTCAGTTTCCTTTTCTTTAAAATGGAGAATATAATTGAAAATTCATTTAGTCAATGACAAATTGTGTACCTAGCACAAGGGATTTGCTTCTAAGCGTATAAAGATGAAACAGTGAGGCCCTTGATTTCAGTGTAGTTTTCAGCTCAGAATGACATACAAAGAAGTTCATTATGATAAGAGAATATATGTATGGGGCAGGAGTGGGGAGGAAGAATATCTAAATGTGCCTAGAAGCTGCAGGTAGAGAAGGTCTTTGAGCTGAGGCTTTAATGATCCATTCATTTATCCAGTCATCTTATGTATATTTTATTAAGTACTTGCCATGTGCCAATTCCTGTTCTAGACACTAGAGATAGAGTCGTGGACAAATTAAAAAGTTAAAAATCTCCGTTTTTATAGATTTTATATTTATAGTTGATATTATATATATTTATATTCTTACTGAGGAAGACAGACAAGAAATAGGTAAAATATATAATATATAGTATGTTAAATACTGATAAGAACTGATGAGAAAAAAAAATAAGCACAGAACAGAGCTCTGAAAATTTGAGAGAAATGTTGGCTCTTTAGTAGATGGCCAGGGATAACATTACTGAGAAATTCTGTGATTTTTGAGTTGAGACCTGATAGAAACGAGAGAGCCAGACCTGCTCATTCGTGCTCCATATTTAGAGCATTTACTGCTCACAAGGAGCTTTGCAAGAACCTAGAAAAGGCCTTAAATGCCTTGCAAATTTTCTTCTTCTCCTCTTCTCCCCTGTCCCCTTTCTCTTTCTTATTATCCAATAGGCAGTGGGAAATTTTTGAAGAATTTTGATTCAGGTAGGACATATTTAGATTTGTGTCTTAGAAAACTCACTCAGAAGTAGTAAGGATAATGAAATGGAAGAGGCAAAATTAGAATAGCCATGCTTGTCAGCAGGGGGCTTCCTACTCCTCAAATGACTCGAGTGAAAATTCAATTCTGTGGCCTGTGACAGTCTTCATGATACCCATGAGTTTTCACAGTTTACTTCTAATGGTGTTTGTTCCCCTCTGTAGTCCTTAACCTCTAGGGCTATTTACCTCCTCTTTAGCAATACCACATTGAATATAAAACTTGGCTCCTTATTCAGTTTCTAGAAAAACATCCTCTCACATTAAAGTTGTGTGTGTGTGTGTGTGTGTGTGTGCGCGCGCGCGCGCACGTGTGTTTTAAAACATACTTCACTGAGGATTTAGGAGTCACTAGGGGATAGGGTTTCAACTGAGAGGATGTGGGGCCTAGGGACAACGAAACCAGTACGAAGTACATCCAAAATAATTCACACTTTCAGCATCTTTTATATGCCTTTTGGAATATTTCGAAGGCAGAAATTTTGAAACTGAGTTTTAATGCTTGTTAAAGCCTCTTCCTGCCCCTAAATGATCGGCCTGACAGCTCACATCTGTTTTCATCCCTTCTCTTCTTTTTTCTTTTTTCCATTCTTCTGTGGAGCAACCAATAAAACCATCCCCTTGTTTCCTATAGATAATCCACCAAAATCTCAGGTGTCAGTTTCTACCCACCAGCAATTATCAGAGAAAATTTCCAACAAAAACAACTCTTCCTTTCTAAGAGGATTTTACGTGAAAGAAATCTGCTGCTTTCCATCATATATTCCCTTGAGAAAAATATTTGCAGCCTCTTGTATATTTTGCTACACAACTTCTGAGGGAAGGGTGCCAGGAGCTGGAGGAGGGGAGTGGTGAACTGGGATCAGAAAGTAACACAGTACAGCTGAATTTTACTTAAGGCGATTGGACCATGTTCAACTCACAGGCTAGGCCCAGTCTCCTAAAGCATTGCTGGAAATTTTCTCTAAAGCTTCATTGGGGATAATGCCTATTGGATCTCTGGATCTAGTTAGGTAGCAGCATCCTATCCCACACACCACCTCCCTAAGTGTTGGTTTACTGGGTAGCACTGAGATTCCAAAGTTACCCAGATAGCAGGCAGGATTCCCTACCTAGGGCTTTGACCACATTTGTTCACTCTTAGAGCCAGGACCAACTTCTGGACTCTCACTGAACGGACCTCTGACTACTATAATAGCAGAGTCTAGCCAAACCATGATAGAGGGGAAGCAACACTATCTAATAAGCTCTTTTGCTTATGGGATCAGGAGAGCTTGACATGTGATCCCTTTCCTGTTTCTAGAGCTTAATTTCTGGCAGACAGGATAGAGTTCCTCTCATAGGTACATTCTACCAAAAAAGTGTCCAACCTCAGAAGAGCCAGAACAGATGGAGGTCTTTCTCTTCTCAGCCCCCAGACCCAAGTACTGCTGTATGTTTTAAATCTGTCTCTGGTGGCTGCTAGATTCCAGGGGCAAATAAAGTGAGATATTACTGATCTCTTGTTTAGGGCCTGGCTTCCCACTAGATAAAAATTCAGTAGTCATGAGTTTTGTTTAAGGCCAGGGATTTTTCTGGTGTGCTCTCTGACTCAAAGTAAGGAAGCCACTTATCCCTAGTCAAGATGGATTTAATGGTTAGAAATCTGAACTTGGGTGGCTGAGCTCTTCACACTCGGCACGACTGGCTGGACTGGTGCCTTCTCATCTAACCCTAACAGTCAGTTTTCTTTCTTTATCCCATGGAATAACTTCTTTAAGAGAAAGAAATGGAGAGGATAACTCAGATTTTCATGGAAAGTTATTAGATTCTCCTGCAATGCCTTGCTTTACATTCCTCCTACAGCAACTTGCTCCAACAAGCCTGATTTTTCCAAACTGCTTTCCAATAGCATTGTAGAATGTCTTGTTGCAAAAGCCTCTTAGGTTTTAACACAAAGCAAAGGCCATTTTTCCTTCCAGCTCTCACATTGTCAAAAATTTGATTTACAAATCCAGGCTATTTATCACATTGCCAAGTATTGTTAAGCATTCAGCTACCTGGCATACCCCAAGAGATGCAGCTTTGGGATCACATAAATTTCTAACCGTGGATCCTGTAAACTTTTATTAATTATTGTTCACATCCTGACTGCCACCCCTCTTTCATGGGAATGTAAAAATCTC